CAAATTATTGCCACTGCACTATACTCATAAAGCAACAACCGTTTACTTTTAATTAGAATGCGACAATAATGTTTGCAATACGAGGCCACTTCAGGCAATTGTAAGTTGGGTAAATGCTATGACTGCAGTTTCTCCCCCCACCCCCAACTATTTGCATTCAAATTCTCAAGTTTGCTCCCTTTATTAAAAATACATAATAATTTTCTAAAATCTGAGAGTTTATAAGAAGTGTATCAGATTCAAAGGCAGGCAGTCTTACTTTGAGTTCCTGTTCTGACCTAGGCTTCCCAAGACTATGAAGCAAACTTCTTGTTCCGATAAAAACCCCTTTTATTAATTCACTGTGAATTCTTCTTATTCACATCCAACAAAGTCTTTCAAGGGAGGATTTACAGTCACAGACCTTATCTGGCTTGGAGAGCTGCCAGGCCGATATNTATGAAGCGGTATATAAGTCTAATAAATAAATAAATAAATAAATAAATGTCCGGTAGGTATCTGGGTTGCCAACCACAAGTATATGGGAAAGCAAAGCTGTTACGGATCCTTAAATCTAAATCAACGGACATAGAAAAGAGACGCATGTCGCTACAAAAGAATAGTAAATTATATACCTTTACTACACAGAGAACAAGGAACTGATATCGCTGATCAAAGGAGAGATAAATCAAGATGTCCAACGAAGATGGAAAGCTTCAAGCTAACAGAACTCAAAGCAGAGTCACAGAACTAAATCTAGCTGAGCAGAAAAAAAAGATCATCTGAAAAGTGAATATATATTGTTTCATAAGGAAAGGACAACTCCAAAGCAAATGAACGAAATTTGAAGGAGAGGGAGGAACAAATTATGCAATGTAGCATCTCCTGGAATTTACGAATGAACAATTCCAATTTACTGGTATTTATTTGTGACCAAACATTTATATTCACAAATCTATCAACTGGAGACCTTCCTGTGATTCTCTATGAAAATCAATTCCTTTATTCTGACAACAATGTGATTACAAGTAGATTGTCTCCATGGGGGCACAGTCAAAATTAGATAGAATGCTGGTAGTTGAGTCATGTCCTAGCAACATTGGGTAGAGTAATACTGTACCAATTTATAACATACAGCTATATAAATAATAAGCTAGATTTGTCCCTTAGCTAAGTTTAATTATTTATTTTAAAGACTTATATGGGTGACTCAGAAAACAGCAGTAAATATATCAAAAAATCATAAAGCCATAGCGAAATTTTCAGCATCCCCAAAGCAATACTTTCCCATACATTAGGCCTTCACTTTCCTGGTCTCATTATTCCAACACTTATGAAAATATGTTGCTTTCAGTTTCTTAAGTTTCTTTCTAACCTATACTGATCATTCTCCAACCAAAGAACTTGCTCTGTCATTTCAGCCGCCTGTATATATTTCACAGATGTTCTTATATTTTAATTTGCTCCCTGCCAAATTAATCATCACCCTAAATTCAGATTGCTAAATTGTATTAGTACCATTTTACAAATCCTTAATAAGGCTACTCCTGGAATACTGCATCCAGTTTTGGTCACCACAGTACAAAAAATATATTGAGACTTTGGAAAAAGTGCAAAGAAGATCAACTAAGATGATTAACGGCCCGGAGAAAAGAATATATATGAAAAATGGTTGTAGGAATTGGGTTTGGCTAGTCTAGAGAAAAGAAGGATTAAGGGTGACATCATAGCAGTGTTCCAGTATTTGANCAAACACATAAAAGATAAAGGTTCCCCTTGCACATATTTGCTAGTTGTTCCTGGCTCTAAGAGGCAGTGCTCATCTCTGTTTCAAAGCCAAAGAACCAGCGCTGTTCGAAGAGGTCTCCATGGCCATGTGGCCAGCATGACTAAACACCAAAGGTGCACAGAATGCTGTTACTTTCCCACCAAAGGCGGTCCCTATTTTTCTACTTGCATTTTTACATGCGTTCAAACTGCTAGGTTGATAGAAGCTGGGACAAGAAATGGGAGCTCACTCCATCACATGTCACGAGGGATTCGAACTGCCGAATTGCCGACCTTTCTGATCGACAAGCTCAGCATCTTAGCCGCTGAGCCACCACGTCCCATACGCATATGCATACACCAGGTAATAACATCCAAGTGTTCTTTTGAGTCTACTTTTCAGTTACAGAAATGGGAAGGTTGAATACTATAGAAGCCTGATATGGCCAAATCCCAGCCTTTAATATAAGGAGAGAGGGAAGAAAGAATATGAAACATAGAAATGTCATTTCTAATCTTAAATCGGAAGCTGATTTCTGATTCATTTTACTTTAAGTATGATCTTGTTCTTCAGTCCTTAGTTTCCAAAGACTAGCCAGGAAACACAACTATTCCTCTTTTTAAAAACTCTTTTAAAATGCCCTCTCACAAATCCTGGATGCATTGTCTTGAGCTTTGCAGTCAAACTGGACAATGGAACGACCACCTGTTAACTGCTAACAATGTGTCATTACCACTTCTCAGGCCTTTTTTAAAGCAATTTTGGCTCTGGCTGCTGATAATTCTGGCAATGATACTGGTGTGAACATTAAGGGCATGGAAAGCCAAAGGGAAAAAACTGACAACACAATTTGTGCTTTGACTACTAATAAGTAAGCAAATGCTAACATTTTTCCAATTCCACATAATTACTCCCTCTCGAGGGGCCAAAAGAAAATTCGAAATACATATTTTTAAGGCAACTCAAGCTACGCTGTATAAACATACACACAAAGCTGAAATCCGTGCAAGTTCACAGTGGATTGTTCTTCCTTTTAAAAAAGAAAGTTTCAGCACGGCAGGGGCTCCTCACAACTTTTTTTGTGGTTCAAGTGCTGGGTTGTCTGCTAACTTTATCTCATTGGTGGGAACTTGATCTGTCTTCTAAATCATTACTGAAGAGATGTTAGAATTATGATGCCAAGAAGCATAAAAGACAACAACAAATGGTGAGACAGTTTAATGGCTTCCTGCCAGAAAAAATGGCAAAGAGGTAGGGGCCCATGGATTGGAGCTGTTCTCCATGAGCCACTTTTAAGTAGGGTTGAACAAAGGAGAGACAAATGTATCTTTAGCAAGACTGAAAAGGAGTCAGATTTACATCCTAATGTGAACACGTTAGATAAAATGTTGATTGCCAGAACAATAAATACATTCAATATTATTTACTCTTAAAATGCTGGGGTATTTGATACAGCCTCCATCAGCTGTCAAATTTGTCTCGTTTAGCTTCTCAACTAATTGAAGTATAGGTAGAGCTGGCTGAGTTAGCCATCTTGCAGAAATGCATTGCATCTGAAAGCTGACACTAAGTGGCTAAGGAAAGCAGATGTTACCTTCTTCGTCTTTATGTTCATCTGCCCTCTTACAATGGCACCTTGCTAGGAACAACATGCTGAACAAAATACAGCAGAGTTGCTGCCAGAGTCAAGATGATCCTGAGCTACTCATTGCAGTTTCTCTTCTCCCATTTCCTTCCCTCTGTCTGCTTGACAGGACTCCACATAGGAGCTCATATACTTGACCTCTCTTAAAAAGTGTGAGGAATGCTGGCTTTTTGTATCTCAGTAAGTTCCCTAGGAGAAAATGTATATGCAGAATATCTGGTGGTATTATGGGATATGTAGCCCCGGAGGTGGATCGATGCATTGGCCATTTCCCATTTTCTTAATTCAGGTAACATTCTTATGATCTGCTCACCAATAAAGTTCATAGGGGACCTATATATTTGGTACAACATGGAATTCAAAATGCTGGCATTTCCTATAAAACCCTTTATGGAACAGATCCTCATTATCTTCACTAACTGGAGTCTGCTGATCTTATGAATTTTACCCAAGAGAATATGGTTGTGATTCTCTTGCATTGAATATTCAAGAGACTCTAGTCAAAGAATTGGGTTTGTGTTTTTTTTGAGGTTGTCTCAACACCAGTGAAATGTTCCTTCCTCCCCTACTTGATACTCTTTCAGAAGGAAATCAAGAGTATCTTCAATAAAGGAGAATATTTGTGGCTCGGGATTGAAATGAGGGGTCCTTAGTGCTCTCTGAGCTTGACTGTTTTCTTGCAGACATTTCATTACCCAAACTAGGTAACATCATTAGTGCTAGGGTATCTTTTTCACCAGCTTTATTGAGTTTAGATGGTTGGGTAGGATGGTGAAACACAACTGTTCAGTAGGTGTTTAAATTTATGTTGAGCTTACATTTATTTTATGGCTTTTTGTTGATTTTATGGTACATGTTTTTATTCTTTGTTTCTTACTCCTTCTTGTGAACTCCCCAGAATCTATGCTTAAGATGGCATTCAATGTTTGTGAAATAAATCAGCTGGATTTTTTTTTACATATTGATACAGAGATCATTATCTTGTAAACAATCAGCAATGTTTTCAAATACTTTCAAACTGTTTCTGCCATAACTTCACTTATATGTAAAGATCTATATCTTTAAGAATATAACAAAGGCTTTGCTGGATCAAGCCATGCATCCATCATCCTGTTTTCCACAACTGCTAACTAAATCTCTCTAGAAAACCCAAGAAAAAGATAGGAAGGCAAGAGTGTTCCCCTGCTATTTAATGACATGTTGCATCTGAACCTGGGAGATGAAATATAGTCCTCCAAAATATTGCTAATTTTGTATGTATAACAATGTTATCACTGTTAGACTAAACAAGATTGGTGCCTTGTTTATTTTGGATTCAGTGCTGATGCATCAGGAATTCACAAATTGATGCATGCTCCCTAATGATGCATTAATGCTGCACCCAACATAATTGGCACCCAACACACATTGAATGCAAGCCATGAATTTTTAATCACTCCACCCTCCATAAATTCTTGGTCCCATTTCCTTTCTCCAAGAGCCGTCACAACTAAAGAATTTTTTTTGTGGGGGGGAACATTGGAGGGTCTTAAAGTCAAGATAGAACACTGTCTCTTACTAACAGGAGGTTATCTATAACTTTTCATTACCCCAAATAATTTTACTTACTTAAAGATTTTCTATTTTCTGTTTTTGGTTCCTTACTGTTGGCATGAATACTCAGTAATTCAGAACTAGAAGATCTCTGAATTTTGAGCTCATTGTTCTTTGATATGTAACTCTTCTCTTTAGGCTAGAAAGATAAAAATGATATAAAATATCCTGAGAAACATTTTGTGTAGATTAATGAAAGTAACAGAAATTTAGAAAACAAAACAAAGGGAAACAAAGCAACAAAAAGCAACTTTTGTACATGGTAAAAGAAAATTTCATCTAAAGACACCACTCTAGAAAGTGTTTCACACAGCGCTATTATAAACATGTAACTTAAAATTAGACATGAAAATATATCAGGTATTGGTATATTGCATACTTTTGTTTGAAAACATAGATCTTTTTATTTTAGGTTTAAGTGCATGGCATAAATGGAGCACAATTCAGTAATGTTACGTATTTGAAAAATCCATTTCCATAAACATATTGACTGCATGCTTAATTACCTTTCTCTGATTCCATCCTTTGAACTCATTGAAAAGGACCTTAACTTCAACTGAATTTTTAGTTATGCTTTTAACTAGGTAAGAAATTATTTTCATATTTTATTTATGTTAACTGATACCTGAATTTATTCTGGGTCTTACAGTTACAACTTCATTTATATTTATGTGCATATAAATGTATGAAACCTAGTGTACTTCTAATACTAGGCTTAGGAGAAGGCTATAAATGAATGTAATGAATTGATTAAATGTGTTTTAAGATTATTACATTGCAATTGGTTCTGTCTCTGTTAGGAAATGGGGGTAAAGAAGAACAAGAAATGAAATGTATATTGTGATTGAAAATTTTCCTTTTAGACACTGCAGTGTAAAAATGAAAAGGAAGCACATATGTTATGATGTCACAAATCACATTTCATTATTTGGGTATAATCTTGGTTAGCATTGGACGTCTATATGCTCATATGTACTGTAGAATTAATTGAAAGTAAGAAGATTCATAATTACAGTCCTTAGATAGACTATGTTATTTCATCACAACAAACCCGTGAAGGAATTTAAAATAAAAATATAAGATGAAAAAAATATTGTTAATTTTAGATTCATGTATGTATGAAGCCATAATAGTCTCTTTTACACATTTATGTTGTTTTAATCAGTATTAGAGAACAGAGATGTACTATTATGTTTCATATATTCATTAAAGAAAAGCAAATATATTACATCCCCTTTTTGGAAATCATTTTAGTGGATGTATTGGCAGCTTAAGCTGATAGACTATCAGACACTTAGTTCACAAAGCCTCATTCCCAGGTAAAAATATATGGAATTGCAAATTTAGTATGTTGTGTCAGTGGAGTATTCAAGCAACTGAACTTGTTAAATGTCAGATTGTTCTGCCAGCTTCCGATAGACTTCATTTAAAGTCTTGAAAAATTATCATCTTACAGCATGCTACAGCACTTTCATATTATAGAGCTTTACCATTTATATCCTATTCAATTGTTTATTGGGGGTTTTTTAAGCCTACATTATACACTGAAACATATAACCACCAAGCCAGTCTGGACAAGATCTAATTAAACATACAAGAAGGGTGTTTCTTCTCACAAGCCAAAACAATACACATCCTCCCCAAAAGTTTTAGCATAATTAGGAGGGGTGAAATATGAAATTTATAATAGGGATGGTGAAAACCACCTAAGAAAAAATGTAATCTGAAATTGGGTGGGGGAAGCAATTGTCAAAAAAACAGACCTGTCAGAGAATGAGAGAAGGAAGGAAGGAAGGAAGGAAGGAAGGAAGGAAGGAAGGAAGGAAGGGACAGCAGTCAGATGTTTTCTATTCAATGAAATTAACAGGAAAATAATAGACAAAAAATTCAACCATACTAATAGTCCTCTCGAACACTATATAGTATAAATGACATAATAAGAGAAAGTTAAATGGCATTTGTTAATAATTGTTTACCTTACAACATATTTAATCATCATAATTTCAAAAAAGATACCCCCATCTTTTTCAAAACCTATTCAAATTATAACTTAGTTCAGAAGCATTTTTAAATAGCAGATGCATGTAGGTATTTTTCTTGATTCGAAGGAAACAAGGGAGATGCATTTTTAACTTGACTTGCTGCAAAATCATATGAACCCCTTACATTATTGCAAGATTAATAAAAGCAAAATCTAAAATAAATGCATACCAATCTGTCAATTGTGTTTTTGATAGCACGGAACCAGTCAAATATGATGAAGTCAATATCTGATTGAAGAAGGACCTCATTTCCTGAAACTGTTGTGACCTTACAATGAGAAAAATGACATATCAGTAAACCATTTGCTACATCATTTTATTTCAGTGCAATTCATCTCAGAAACTCTTCTGTAAATAAAAATTAAAATCAGCAAAAAAGCTGGTTCTGTTATTTCAAACTATTAAGTATTTCACAACAAAAGCTACTATGACATTTCTTTACTTAAAATTCAGCAAATGTATGCATAAATAAAAAAAATCAATATAAGGCAAATTCAATTTTTTTAAAGTGTTTGCTCCAGGACAGCTTGCATGATTGGCAGATTATGTCAGTCCATACTGATCTGGGCAGCTGGTCTGCTTGATACTATTTGCTCAAATAACATTTTAGAACAAGCTGCCTTTGAGATTGGTGTGGCACTGATTTTCATCTAAAATATTTCTAGGAAAAATGGAATATTCTATCTTAGGCTTGTCCTAGAAATTTAAAACGAAGCTTAAAATGAACATGGATGATGGTCTGAATTTCTTATGCTGAATGTTTATATTTGTTTTCCTAATTCCTTCATTGTAGTGAAGTTTCATATGACGAATAATGAAGTACATTTATGAAGTACATAATGAAGTACTATTAAAAGGACTCACAACATTTAGTACTAAAATTTAAGTAGGAATATGACTTATACCAAGCATATTCCTACTCATCACAGGAGACAAATGCTTAAAATACTGGTAGTATCCCACCAACTTTTTACATTGCCCAAAGTATTTTAATTAGTAGAATGTGGAGGATTTTGACTGGCCTTCTTTTATGACTTCTCAAAAGATCCTCTACAACAGAGTTGGCAGGCCAGAGTGACACAGTAGACAGAAAAGTTCTGTTGCACAAAATATTTGTGCAAAATCGGACTATGCTCTTAACTAGAAATGATCTCAAATCCAACTCTCACATAAAGAAAGAGCAGAAAATAGTGGACAGACTTAAATAGTAACAAAAGCAAATATTTGAATACTTGTCATCACAGAAGAACATTCAAATACTAGCAGAACATCAAAATGACCAGAATGCAGTGCCAGTGAATATTGTATATAGCAAATTTTGGAGGCGAACTCATTGTGGGGAACAGTTAGTGACTTTAAAGAAACAAAAAAGATTTGGATAAAACTGACAGAATTAATCTGACCAAATTTATTCACACATTATTATGAGATAGCAGGTTTTGTTTGTATATATAGAGAGAATAAGCCAGGCTAATCTTTTGTAGCAGATACAATAAAGAATCTCATTGTTCCTTAAAGAATAAGAAAACTTGGGATTGATGTCAGAACATGATTGCCTCAGCATGTGGATGACTATACAAAGATGTAAAATCCTCACACAAATATTTTGCTCATATTTATTTCTGCTTGACAATTTGGCAGGAGCATCTCCATTTTTAATAAGAAATATATTCTATTTATTTCATGTATAACAACACACAAATATTATATATATATA